CATTCCATCATAGAAGGCTATCAGGTTAGTCAAGCATGATTTCCCCTTGGTGAATCCATGCTGACTACTCCTGAGCACCTTCTTGTCCTCCACGTGCCCAGAAACAACAGCCAAGATTAGCTGCTCCATGAGTTTTCCAGGGACGGAGGTGAGGCTGACTGGCCTGTAGTTGCCTGGGTCCTCCTTCTTGCCTTTTTGGAAGATTGGCATGATATTGGCTTTCTTCCAGTCCTCTGGCACCTCCCCCGTTCTCCAGGATCTTTCAAAGTTGATGGATATTTGCTTAGCTATGACTTCCGCCAGCTCTGGGCTCATCCCATCAGGGCTCATGGATTTATGGATGTCAAGTTTCCCTAAGAGCTCTCTGACCCAATCTTCCTCTACCCAGGGCAAGTCTTCCTCTCTCCAGGCATCTTCTCTGATTTCTAGGGTCTGCACCCAGAGGGCTGGCTTTGGTAAACACTGAAGTGAAGAAGTCTTTCAGTAACTTTCCTTTTTCAGTGTCTTTTGTAACCAGGGCGCCCATGTTGTTCACCAGGAGGTCCGCATTTTGCCTAATATTCCTCTTATTTTTGATATATTTGAAAAAGCTCTTATTATTTTTAACATCTCTTGACAGACTTAATTCCTATAATGCCTTATCTTTCCTCATCACATCCCTGTATTCCCTGACAGCATTCCTATATTCCTCCCAAGCAGCCTGTCCCTTTTTCCACTTTCTATATAGGGCCTTTTTCTGTTTGAGTTTTGCCAGCAGCTCCATGCTCATCCACACAGGCCTCCTCTCCCCCTGCCTGACTTATTACTCAAAGGAATGCACCACTCCTGAGGGTGGAGGAAGTGCTGCTTGAATACTGACCAGCTCTCTTGGGCCCCCCTTCCTTCTAGAGTCTTAGCCCATGTTGAGGAGATCTCTGAAGAGGTCAAAGTTGGCCCTCCTGAAGTCCACGGTTGCATGGCTACTTACAGCCCCCCACTTCCTCCTCACTGGATCCTAAACTCAACCAGCTCATGGTCACTGCAGCCAAGGCTACCCCCCACCTTCACATCTCCTACAAGTACCTTTCTATGTGTTAGTATGAGGTCCAGTAGCCCACCTCTCCTCATTGGCTCCTCCACAATCTGTGTTAAAAAGTTGTCATCAACGCTCTGCAGGAACCTCCATGACTGTTTGTGCCTGGCTGTGTTGTCCTTCCAGCTGGTGTCAGGGGGGTTGAAGTCTCCCGTGAGAACCAGGGCCTGAGACCACGAGGCTAGTTCCAGCTGTCTGTAAAAGACCTCATCAACTTCTTTGTCCTGATCAGGTGGCCTGTAGCAAACGCCTACCACAGTGTCTCCCACATTAGCCTGCTCTCTAATTCTTACCCATAAACTCTCAACTCATCTATCATCCACCCCCAGATTGAGCTCTATTTCAACTATTTCAGTAATAAATAGAAGATCTTTTCAAACTATGATTAATCCTTCTGTTAGATAAATCCTTCCGTGCTTAAAAACAAACAGTCACAGAAGAAAGTAAGTAAATCATCTTGTTGCAAATTGTTGCCCAGAGATATTATGCAGTCTTCATCCTTGGAGATAATCAAAATCTGGGCTTGACATGTCTAGCTGACTCTGCTTGATCAGGAGAGCTGGGATAGAACTCCAGAAATCCCTTTTGGCTGCTGTTGAATCTGTAAGATATAAAAACATCACAGAAAATATAGAAGAATTGCTAAGACACTTGCAGTGTGGTGGGAGGAGGGAGGAATTAGTTTCCCACCATTGCCTTCTTTTCAATTGGCTCTTCCTCAAGGTCTATCAAGGGTGGAGCATTTGAGGTTGGTCTGAAAGTGGCCCTTTGCCCTGACCATTCCTGCACTAGTAGTTCTAATTTTTTGGTTGGGAGTCCATCCATCAAAACCCAGGGAATACCTTCCTCAAGCCTTAACAGTCAAGGCTCCTGTCAAATTAAGGGTCTCTCTCTCCCAGAACTATGACCTCGCAGCGACCCCAAGTCTTGGCCCTTCCCGAGGGCTGATTGTTGCCCACTAACCCGTTTTGTGGCCTGTACAACCCTGGTTTCAGTTCTCTGGGACATTCCACCAACAGGGTCATATTTTCTCCCAGGATTAATCAGCTCCTGGGCTATCTCCCCACATGTCCATACTTTTCTCGGTGGCCACAGATAGTCAGGGATCATTATCCTCTCCAGAGCAGTCGTAATTCTTTCTCCATTGGGGATGTTTTGAAGCCTCCCTTGTAATTGAATCCCAATGGGTTTCAGGGAGTCAGGAGGTCCTCGTATCAGGGGAGCCCTCTCTGGGTCCACAGGCAGCATCACTGGGGAACTCTGGTTGGGCTTAAGCTCCTGATTGTACATCATGTGGAGACAGGCCACCTTTTGCACACTTTCCACTAACTGATCCACCGTCCCTGCTATGGCAAGGGGATCTCCCCTCTCCAAGGAGTTGAAACCTCCAGCCCAATATACAGCTCTCTGAGTCAATGACTGTGGGGCTCGGTGATCACTGGTGGTCAGAAGCACATTCGGACCCCCTTCTGCTTCTTTCCCTCACAACAAGATTCCATCCCTCTTGACAAAGACACTCTCCACACATAACTCTGTCTCTGATTCTTTTGCAGTTCTTGGAAAATCTTTTCTCAGCTTTGCTAATTCATTTGCAGTGAATCTGCAACTCATTTGCTAATTCATTTGCATTTGAAGGGAGGCCCAAGAGAGCTGGTTAGTTTTCAAGCAGCACTTCTTCCACGCCCAGCAACAGTGCATCCCTGTGCGTAAGAAGTGAGGCAAAGGGGGCAGGAGACCTGCACGGATGAGCAAGGAGCTTGTGGCAATGCTCAAGCAGAAGGCGGCAGTATACAGAATGTGGAAAAAAGGACAGGCCCCCTGGGAGAAATACAGGAACGT